TTACGGGAGGCATGCAGGCGCTCGTGTGTGTTTAATGGCTAGTTGTTGGCAGAAAGTTTGAAATTGTGTGGAAGTACATTAAGAGCCATTGTCAGATACGACCACATCTTGGATGCCATTTCGCAACGAAATTTCGATGAGGAGCTGTATTGTAGTGGGCGGCATTACGGGCTGATTTCTTGCCTTTTTGAGAAGGCATCGACCAAAGATGCTCAGGTTCGGGCCATGAAACCGGCAGAGTTTCGGCATTCATCTTTGCCGCCTGCAGAAACCGCATGCATTTTTCAACCAACGCTGTTTCATGTTAATCCATATCAGGCCAGTATGCATAACTCCTGGCTATGGACTTCATTCATTTAACCCCAGGATGAACTAGATGGATCTGTCCGAGCACTTTGCTCGAAGAAATTCTGGCACCACTACTCTTTCACCACACACCAAACAATCATTCACGATGCAAAGTGAATTCCGCCGCTGATACAGTTGCTTCATGTCACCCCAAACTTCTTCGGCGGCCAGCCACTAGTGACATATTTCATCGCCATATTGATGATTAGGTCGTTTTTAGAAGCATTTTGTATGCCTGTTGCAGACAACGATAATGCCTGTATTGTGGCTGTCAGATAACATTCCGCCTGGTCTTACATGGACAGAGATGCGTTCACCATGTTTTCCCCATCCGCTAATCGATCAATAATGAGACGTCTAGTTGAGTGAGTTGTGGAGTGCGTCTATACTGCAGCACACAACACAGAAGCTTCGTTCAGGATGTGATAATTACCTTCGTCTGTTAGGACAACCGGAATGTAAAGTTGCCTTTACTGGTGTACGTTATATAATGCCAACTGATCTAAATTTACTTGATTTAAATTGGTTCGACCAGCTGAAATTGGCTGATGTCCCGATAAACACTATATGCAACCTGGTTTCACAACCACAGGGCCCCGAAGCATATACGGAGAAGGTGATGACGGAGTTTTCAACCATTTTTGAACCTTGAAACCTGGGGCTAAGTGTGCTTTTTGTCCAACGGGACCCGTATTTTATGCAACATTAGCAACAGTAGATCAGGAGTTGAATCGCCTTTAACGATAAGGAGTTATTACGCCCGTATCTTACTGTACTTGGGCACTATCTATAGTCGTTATCAAGAAGGCCGACGGCACGACACGTGTCTGTGCTGACTTCTCTACAGGTCTCAGTGCAGCTCGGGAAGAGCATCATTATCCTCTGCCAGTCCCAGCAGATATGTTCACTATGCTGAATGGAGGAAAGTTCTTCGCAAAGCTTGACCTAGATGATGCTTATTTGCAAGTGGAAGTCTATGAAGCATCTAAAGAGCTGCTTACTATCAACACCTATCGTGGTTTGTTCCAGTATAACAGTCTACTTTTTGGTGTTAAGACTGCAACAACAACTAATGGATACAATCCCGTCAGATATCTCAGGGGTAGCAACTTATCTCAATGATATCTTGATTGTTTCAAAGACGTTAGAACAGCTACGGGACAATGGTACTACAACGCATCACCGGTTACGCCCAGAAAAATGCCAGTTTCTATTGCTGTCGGTAAAGTATTTTACGAACCATATGGGGTACAGTTAAGTACCCCATAATCCTGGCTTCGAACACGGCAGTAGCCTCAGAGGATTTCTAGGCGGAGTTAGCTGTGAAATAATGCTGACATATGAAAATGAACAATTTACTGACAAACCAAGAACTCCTTATATGCAGAAATCCGTTCGTAAAGCATTTAACCCATTGAACCTTTCATTTACATATCATTTCATCTTTTGTTCAATTTGACTGCTTAATTTATTACCGCTCCACTTCTGCGAGATACACAACCAAAAGAAACAATTAAAGTAAGTTGTGAGTAGTATCTCCCACGCTAACGACAGAAATTTCAACATTGAGGAATCGTGAATCTAACATAAAAAATCAACTTCAGGACCTAAAGCTTCTTAAATGAAAAGTTTGTGTTCTGAATTAAATTTATTAATCTTCATGACCTGTTTGCTGATAATTATATAATATATCTAAGGTAATAATTTAATCATGTATTTTCGATATTCTTTTTATAAGTAATATTTCGTTACCCTGTTAGCTTAATCAATCAATGGATACTTTGTCTACTGTAACAGATTAGTAGTAGAGATCCATACAAATAGGGTCCTATTTTATACAGTCGTTTCCATGTTCAAGATCATGATGTATTCTGTGTCTGTTCGGGATGCGATGACAAGAACCAACTTCAGTTAGATTATCGGTAAGTTTTTCTGTATTACACCATTCATCGATCGATATATAAACCAATGGAAAGAAACAGAAACCGTACTACAAATTATTAATTAAGCTCTTTCTAACAAAGTTGTCAAACAGAAGACGAAGATGGAAAAAACTATACTGTATTGGACTGAATTCACTTATCTCCAAATAAACGAAATCAGTAATCTATAGTTACTAGAATAATAACGATATGTTTAGTGCTCATCTTATTGAAAAATCCAATCACCTGACATATTACTAGAAATATACATACGGTGCTCGAAAATAGAAGACAAGTTGAGTGATGTTTCCTCACGACTTCAAGACTCAAAAAAGTAACATATGATACCAATATATCTGATAACATGAAACAGGACAACCGTAGCAATTACCGATGTCACTTTGTAGGTTATGACATCAGTTTTACGGCTAGTAATAATTTCAGATGTACTGATTTAGTACCATATTTTATTTTGAACCTATCACTTATAACTGATTCAACAAACTGAATGTCACATCATATAATTGAGTCACCAGTAGTTTGACGTAAATAAATACGAATTATTCTAGGTATACTTTGATAAAGGACTAGAAATTTCGGAAAGCACTTTATGTAAACTAAATGAAAAAAATAAATATCTAGAAAATATCTAGAAAATGCATTATTATATGTCGATAGTCTTCTAAAAATTCACGTTCATCCTTAATTTTCGTGCATAAACTAAATTTAAAATGAAATTCCACTTTCTTCTTCGTACTGCTCCTGGTGTGTTTAACCTGCGTGTTATTTTGTTCTGTGAACTTAGGAAAGCGATTTAGAAATCACATCTAGATTTTGTTTGACTGGCTCATTGTTCAGTAGTTTGTTTGTAAGCACTGGCTAGTTTTAAACATTTTTCATTGATTTGTAGTGCCTCCACATATATTTCACTTCTCTCACATCTAACTTGGTTAAGCCCTTTCGATTAATTTATTTAACCAAGCCATTCGCTTAGCAACAACTTGTATGTACAATTGGTATTTTTTATTATGTGGTTTGTATGAGCTAGTATGACTGAGCATTGCTTAACGCCTACGCATATATGCATCCTATTCGCTTTAATATTAATCTCTTCAATACCACGATGACTCAGACATTTTCCTTTGTATATATACGAACATTTTTATCTTATTAATTCATTCGCACATTCGCATATTCGCTCACTAGTCTGTCTGCCCGGTCTGTCTGTGTTCTGCTGTTATTAATTGTGGTGTGCTTCAATAAACGTATACGCTACTTGGAATTCATCTTCTGATTTATTAACCGTCAGACGATTCAAGGCATATTTGTGATATTCCATTATTGTATTCCAGTCACATTTAACTGAAATTCCTGACAAGGAAGAACAGTAGTAACTTACACAATATTACTGACTATTTATTCGCCGTGAAGCCATGATTTTGATTTGTCATATTAGAGTATATTTCAATTCCAGTGTCACGTTTTATCGGCTAATGAACATGAACCCAAACCATAATACTTATTGGTCCTCAAACACTTTGTAACCCAGTAATCAGTCAAAATATGACGTAGGGAGATATCACTATTCTCAATTGTGCTTGATTTAATTATCGCTGAATATTATTCTCGAAATATCTGGTCATGAGGAAAAACGAAAATATAAAATTCCTAGTACATTTATAACGCAGCTGTTAGTGACGTAAAGAGCAGAAAAAAATTAACTGGATAACAAATGATGAAATCACAGAACCAGTGCAAACAATACATGGTTTATCTTATTCTGCACAGCTGCAAGAATTCACAGATATTATGTGAGTAGAAGAATTCACAAAGCGCATAAAAATTCACATATTTATAAGTTAATAGGCTGAGTGCCTATTCATCCACATTGAATTCTCCCTTCTCTAGCCACCCATAATACTAACGAGATTTTTTTTTTCTAATCATGCCACGCTTCCTAACTAACGACGGCCACTTAAATACTAGTTTTCATAGCTAGAAAGCAATGAAAAAACTAGTTGTTCATGGAACGATAAATAAACAGCATTTGAATACAACTTTTTGCAATTTTCTATTAATTCAAAGTTTTAATTGAAAGCAACAGTTTGTTAGATTGATTCATGTATTACGTTCGTAACAGATGAATTATTTATTAGTTTTTTGATGCCTCGGACACATTTGAGTTTATTTACGTTCATTGTGGTAAAGCGTTTTATAACTTTTTTTGACTAACAAAATTATTCAGTTAGCTGCAACTCATCTGTAACATTGTGCGTACATTACAGTTGCGCTGATATGAGCATTTCGGCGTTGACTTTACTTACCGGTTATGCACATATGCACTCTACTGGCTTTATTGTCATATGCCTAACTAATGCAATGGCTCATACATTTATATACATATATATATGTACAGTTTAGTCCTGTTTATTGACTCGCTTGCTTACTTACACTTCCGCACTGACATATCATTTTAGCCTCGTGATCTGTGTATGGCGCTATATTTGACATTATCTACACTTCATATTTTTCTTCTGATTCATACACCATTGGATGTTATATTGTAACTGTTAACAAGGCGAGCTCAGTGTGTAATTTCAAAATATATCGCAGACTGTTCGTTACAGAACAAGTAAGACCATGTCTACCACAGTGTTTTTTATTAGTATAGATGAGATAAAACATTCTCAAAATAACGAAGATTTATTCATTATCTTCTTTGATCATTCATTAACTGAATTTTTGTGTTTTCTTTTCTCTCCATCTACCACTGTTCATTTCTTCCAGAATATCTGTCAGAAGTTGGTGTTTAACTGAAAAAGATAATAAAAATATCAAGAACACTAAACCAAAGATATGCTTCAAAAAGCGTTCTGTAATTTTTAAATAGTCTAAGTACATTGATATAAATAACAGGATTTGATTGCTATTATTATTGATAATAATTAATAAGCCTTTTCAGTATCAGAACTCAAAGGTGAAACTCCTCAGGTCATTACGATGACTTATTTACATTTTATGTCCCTCCATGTATATATATTTATGATATGATATGAATGACTCTTTCTGTTAACATTTTGGTACTCTATTTGATTCCATTTTGAGATTTTATCATTGCATATCGTTATTATTTCTATATTTTGTACTTATATTGAATTTTTTATGTTTGCTTCTGAACTGTACATATATTGTTGAAATTTGATTTTTAATATCGCCACAGCCATATTTGGATTTGATACTATAGTAGTAACGGTCTGGAATCACTTATCCTTCCAGAAACGGAACCCGTTGTGGTAATTGGAAGCTCGAAGGTGTAATATTGTTTTGGTAATTGTCTGTATTTCCCTATTTAAGATAAATAGAACCGTTTTCTCCCAGAATTATCGTGTTTTTGGTCCCTGGCTGGGTTAACGCGTATGAACCTATGCTGTTCGAGCCGGATTGAACAGCAAGATTAGAAAATCCACAACAACAGTACACTAATTTCTAATCAATCCTTATATCTTTCTAGCGAAAATCTTTATTGAATGAGCAAACGAGTTTAACTTACACATATCAGAAAACAGTAGGAAAATTTCACTCTGTTTAGTAGTCATTCGATTGTGTAGTATATCGATACCTTGAAAAATAGGAATACATTTTTAAGCCAGTATTGAAATGAAAACATACAATACAATCTGCTTTCAGTTGTGAAAACTTTAAAGCCACACTGTACGCATCCGAAAAAATGGTGAGATTTTAGTCTACAGACAGCACTGAGTGAACCAGTTGGAATTAAGATGATGCACCCCGATTCATTGCATTATGAAATGAGCCTAACGTAGCAAGATAATATATTTCATTTCTAACTGGTACACTTATTCTCGTTCAGCAAATATGCAGAAGGCTCGACTAACTTGCGATTCTTTTAACCTAGTAGAAATACCCGTCTACACATTAAAGGATCAGTCCACTGTGCTCCATTTATATGTTGCCGTTGAAAGTAAAGGATATGCGTAAGTTATTTGTATTCGAGGCACTGCTTGCATATCCTTTTGTAATCGAATAGGCGAAAGCAGTGTTAGGAAAAGATTTTAGTCTACAGACAGCATTGAGTGAACCAGTTAGAATTAAGATGATGCGCCTTGATTAAAAGTATTATGAAACGAGCTTAGCGAAGCAAGATACTATATTCCATTTCTAACTAGTACACTTGTGCTCATTCAGCAAACATACAGAAGGCTCGACTAGCTTGCTACTCTTCTGACATAGTAGAGATACCCGTCTACACAATAAAGGATCAGTCTACTGTGCTCCAGTGAAACGTTGCCTTTGAAAGTAGTATCCTATTATATGTGTCTTCAAGGCACTGCTTGCATATCCTTTTGTAATCGAGTAGGCTATACCGGTGTTAGGGAAAGATTTTATGGTATGAATCCTAAGTCAGCGATGAAACTGTCAGTCTTCATCATTTGGAGTTATTAAGAAATGTTTTACATATGTTTTACAACTGAATATCACATCGCGCGTGCTGAGTTAGTTGACTGTAACGTAGGAAAGGTTAGTCAGGTAAAAACATGCCTTAAATCATCTGAGCCAAAAATAACGGAACAGCACCATGGTAACCAGTGCAGACTACAATGATGTGGCTGTATTATACTGTTTCTGTCAGTGACATGGTGTAAATATCCTATCAGAAACCGACTCTCATACTTAATTTATCTGCTATAACTTTTACAGAAAATGTGAAAGCATTTGTCACAATTTGATCTAGCCTGTAAACTGGCATGCCTCTGGTAACGTAGTTATTTTAGAATAAATATTCTTATTATTATTATTATTATTATTAAAATGATAATAATCAATGTTCATATACTGACGAGGTTGCATCTATTCGTTGTGTCCTATCTAGTTCTAATCTCCTAAATTTCAGATCACCCTTATCTTTCTTTCATCATCACTCACGTTATTTGGTGATCAAAAACTCCATAGGATGATAATCCAAAATAATTATAAAATTTGTCCAACCAATAATCAGTAAGAGTAACCTTATTTTTCATCCACTACAAAAAGAATCATCCGATATTCTGAATAGTATTCAGTCATTAGATAATAACTGTAACTTCATGAATCACAGTTTGTAGGTTCAATGATCAAGTACGTCAACTTATTCTAAGCTGTTATGTCTTAAATTCTTTGATATACAATCAAACTATGAAAGTAAGAACATTCTTTCTGTTACATGTTCATTGAAATCTAATATAAAACATCAAAAATTTCATTATTTTGAACATTTTCATCAACGAACTAAAAAAGTAAGTAAGTTCAATTAACAGATTTAAGTTAAAACCATACACAGCACATGTCCCAACCACCACAACTGATGAAGGTTTAGCACTTCATCTACTGATCTGCCATTCTTACCTAGCATCCGTTTCCTAATAACAGCGTTGCTCACTCGGGTGTCCCAGGATATACGAGCAATGCTTCGAAGACCCCATAGGTGTCTTCGAAGCATTGCTCGTGGTTGGGACATGTGTTGCGTATGCCTAACCACTAACTGCCTCGACGAGCTTTGTTTTGTAGTGCAGGAGTAGGTTGGAAGATAGTTAGGGGCGGCCAAACTAAAACATGGCACGAATCCATGAAGTCATTGACGATTGGACTTATCCATGTCGGTAATTCTCGACTACCTGGTTGAGGTTCGCGAGATGATAATAATCGATTGTTAGAGACCTTGAATGACATGGCTCAAAATCGTTCGCGATGGTGCCGGTGACTTTATTCATTGTGTTCTCTCAAATCCTAATCTTCTGCATTCTTCAACACCTCTAGTTTTGACTAACTAAACTTTTCCCACTGAATCATACTTCTTGAATAATATCTTTTAATCCCAACCTCTCCTAATGCTTCTAGAACCTTTACTTCCCATTCTACTGTTGGATTTGAATTGACAATTATATCTCTATGCTGATGTGGTATGGCAGCATGAACTGATGTACTTACGTACGAAGTTCTACGTTGCATCTGACTGACTGACTGACTGACTGACTGACTGAGATGGAATAATCTGAAGCAAAATACTCTTACTTTTCTACTCTGTCATTTGTTATGAATAGAATGAAAAAAAAAACATTTTACTTACCTTTATATTTTGATTTTCTATGTTTCATACATAGATGCTCTGTATGATTTTGTAATTGTCCTATAATTTTTTTTCGTGTTTTAATAATGTGATAAAGTACAAAAGAAAGTAAATTTTAGTCGTAGTAGTAGTCGTACTAGTAGTAGTAGTAGTAGTAGTAGCTTAGGTAGTTTAAGTAGTAATAGTAGTAGTAGTAGTGTAGCGAAGGAGAACACAGGTCAGGGCAACCGAATTTTATTTATCGCAAATTACAGAGTTACTCAGTAAAATAGGAAAACCATATCGTAAAAGGTTAGTATGCAAATCTTCAATCCATCACCAATACATTGTCTGACATTTCACTTATTCAGGCGTTTCATAAAAATTCCATTGTGTTCACACTCTTCCTTTCTTTATCTTCCTCCATCTTCTGCTGCCAGACATTACGTTTACACTCACGTCATATACTACTTATAAGTAGCGCGCACCACAGTAGCAGTAGTAGCCTCACCTGTGTTCTCCTTCACTACAGTAGTAGTAGTAGTTCATCAAAATTAATCATATAAATATATATATATATATATTTGGCACTGAATATTTCTGTTCTAAAAGTTCTTAATTAGCTAACTAAATATTCTATGACATAAAATGTTAGAAAGCTCTCTCCATTTATTTAAGTGATCTGTGATATTTTTTATAATGAATGACATTTCAGTTAGATGACATGAACTTTCATTTGGCATAGAATATTTATTTTAAAGAATGAGTACTTGTTATTTTGTATAGATTTCAATTAAAAATAAAGCTATAATTTTTGGCATGTAATGTAAAACGTGGCTGAATGAAAAAAAAATTCACTTGATAGCAATGACCTTAAGATAGAACGCTTATTATTATTATTATTATTAGTGAAGTTATATATTCAATTTTTATCAAAAATTTATGTACATATGGAACAGACTTTCTATTCCGTCCTTGCCTTTTCGTCTAAATAGTGAGTTTGTTTGAGTTATTAGCATTAGTCAGTCAGTTGCAACGTAGAACTTCGTACGTATGTACAAATGTTCATGTTGCCATACCACATAATTAGCACAGAGACGCAAATGTCAAATCAAATCCCATAGTGATAAATATAGAAGAGGTATTAATGGTAATGAAGAAGACTAGGGTTTGAAGATACTATTCAAGAAGTATAATTAAGTTAAATAAGGTTAGGAAGACAAAGGTAGAGGTGCTGACGAACCCAGAAGATTAGGATTTGAGAGAGCGAAAAGAATGGATGCATTGTGCCATCGCAAACGATTTTCAGCTATGTCGGTTTACGTGAGTTGTCCCAGCAGTTGTCCCTTTGGCTCTGCGGTCACGCAACCAGGTTTCTAAGACTAACACTGATCTATCTTCCTTTTCAGGTCCCTCAAGAAAAAACCTTTCACGGTGTGGACAGCCGGGAAGCTGTAACCGCCCTCATACCCGTACCAGCACACGAGACCAAATTGGTCAAAATCAAATCCTTCCTATTAGCATTATCTCTTCATCATAACAATGGTATTAAGTAAAACCTCGACACTTTGACTGACTATATTGAATGCAGTTTAGACGGAAACCCTAGTGAAAAGTAAACTTGAATCATTTCGTTTTCCTCTCAATTTGATTTACTTTTTTGAAATAAAACATATATTGATGACAAATAGTCAATAAAATTACACAGAATCTGAGAAAATCGATCTCAACTCACCCTCAGATATCAGTTTTTCGTTGTAGAAACATGTTTTCACTTTGGATGCATTAGAAATAGTTACACCTAATGACAGTAAATGATTTTTAGTGCAATAAAAATTGAAATGTTACATTTCACGCTATCTGAATGAGTATAAATTGTAAATTATAAGACATGTCATATAATATACCAATGATATACTCAACATTCTTCATCTTCCTATAGTAGTCAAGCTTGCCTATTGTGATGACCTACCTAAGTTTTACTAGGTGGAGCACATGATCTGTGTGTATCAGAATTAGTTATGCTCGGTTAACGAATAGTTTAACTATATAGGTTGACTTAAGTCTTGACTGTAGTAGGACTACTATTTCGATTTGATCTATATCTAAAACGTCACAAACTACCTCATACTCTCTAACAGACAAGATAAAGTTCAACTTTTCTAACAAGAATTGTTAATTCATCTATTACAATTACTTACCATAATCTTTTTCCACAGTATTCATTATATCTTGAAATCCTACAATGTTTACAATTGAAAAAGAAATATTACCATATTTTCAACCTTTAACTTTTTTGAAACTAAATAATGTTTAAGTCACTGGTTAAAGATGACACGTAGATTATTGTTATAAAAAAATAAATCAGAAACTTCTAAATGAGAAGATCAGATGATAAGTTGTTTTTCTGTTGTTGACTGTTGAAGGTTGTCGGAGTGTTTTGCGCTAAGATTTCCGACACAATATACACGTCATAATCTACTGTCATTTTAGACAATAGGTTAGATAATAACATTTGAAATGTATAGATAATGAGATGTCATAGGACGACATCAACAACACAGTAAAAAGTATTATATTATTCTACTGCGATTGTTTTCTGATAAATTAACAAGCTTATTCAGAAGGTGTGATTGTTTGCATAAGATGGATGAACTGCAATTAAACTAACCAGACTGATCATGTTTTAATGTCACTCAGTCAGAACTCTTTGAAACAATTACACACATAACCAGCACTCATCTATTAGTATTTAACAAAATGTAGCCTATTCAGTCAAAGAGAAGAAAAAGAGAATACGTGATTTGTCCAACAAACCAAGTCAAACAATAAAATTGCAGAGCGAAACACTATTAAATATATTAAACAATTGATTCCTTGAGTTCTTTTGATCTCAAATCTTAGGACGTTGCTAGGTTACATTGAAACAACGCAGAGATCGTTAATAAAAAACTACCAGAGAAATATAAATACTCAACGTCCGTTTGGTCTCAGGATGAGATCCATCGGCAGTCATGATCCCTGCTTGCAATAATCTAATAATGGTCAATTCATAATTACAGTGAAACTCAACAGTGTTCGTAAATTTACATCGATAATCATAGAAATATGCGCACTAGTGACTAGCTTCTCACAGAAATTCTTGGAGTTCTGATGAGAGGCCGTGGTTTGTAAAGTTCCGAGGTGAAGAGTGCCAGATGGGGTTAATCATGATCTTGCATTGATTAAAGCTACACATAAACACCTTTGGCCAGTCTAAGCTTTAAGTGCATGAGACCAGAGGATCTGAGTAAATTCTCACATGCATGTTTCAGGCGCACTACTACCGTTAAGCCTATAATAGGAAAAAAACTCATACAGTACTTCCTGACTTTTGAAAGATTGTCCAACAACTTGAATCCTTTTTTAATTTGAACAGGCAATAGTTACGTGTATAAAATAATCAATTATTTATGTAATAATTATTGTTTCAAACAAACCTGTCATTAATCGAACTTGATTTTTCAATTCCAAGCCTTTTGTTACGCAATCTATATCTACAACAGACAAATTAGTAATCAATTAATTCATTGTTTATCCACTGAATGTAACATACACTCATCCATTGATTTCCATCCATCTGATGATTCCTTTGTCATCTTTTCTAAACAAATTGAGAAATGGTTGAAGGAAAAAAATTCAAATGACACATGACATAATGTTAATGTAGTACAGATTATAGAATAGTAAATTCAGGTTAAATTCTAAAGTACTGTTTTTTCATGTTCTTTCATATTAACTGTTTATCCTAAACTCAGTGAACAGACACATCTGCTCAAACTAATGCATAATCAAAAGATAAACCTCATCTAAATGGTGATACTGTTTCGTTGTCTGAACCAGAAAACTTGATTGAGTAGCTTTCACTTTTTTCTGTTTTCCTTATTTCTTCTGAATAGACATACCGCTGGACCAAACTAGATCACATCGCCAAAAGGCATCATTCGGAAACACTTGTTTATACTCAGACCATGCTCTGGTGTCAGCGCGTATTTGTTTATGTCTTCCTTGACTTAACTATATTTTGAAGTGTAGGGATAGGTCGGGTGAGAGCTAGTGGTGGCCATATCAAACTAAGGCAGAAATCCATGAAGTCAGTGAAAAGTGGACTGAATCATGTCAGTAAGTGTCGACTACCTAGTTGACGCCGATGAGATGATAGTAATTGATGGTTAGAGACCCTGAATGACATGGCTCAAAACTGTTTGCAATGGCGCAGGTGTCCTCTTTCGCTGTGTTCTCTCAAATCCTAGCATTCGTAATTCCTCATCACTTTTATCTTTTTCTCTTTCATTTTTTTCAATAGATTCTACTCCTTGAATAAAAACTTCGAACCATAATCTCTCTGATTACTGCTAATACATACAATACGTCTACTACTTGTGGATTTGGATGGACAATTGCATTACTGTGCTAATATGTTATGACAACATGAACTGATGTACGCACGTATGTATGAAGTTCTTCGTTACTACTGACCGATTTCTGCGCAAACTTCAAGTCGAAATGAAGTACTTGGAGTCATACAAAACGACAAGTTAAAGGCCAATAACAACCAATCAAGTCTGAAGTCAACAGAATAAGTTACGAGTTCGAATACTTGACTTTAACCTGAAGTCAGTGTTGATTGATGATGTGGTGTTTTCAGTTGAAAAACCAAAACAACGTTGCAAACAAAACATTCATCTCATAAATCGAAATCTAACTCTGAGTGATAATCATATATTATTTTTAATCAGCATTACCTTTTTGTTTATTAAAATATTTTATCTGATATCTTAACTGCTTAATTGTTTCATTGACTGATTCTATGAACAAAAGATTTAAATATGTTTTCTAATTAAAAAGTACCACAATTTTTCTAAAGGTTTTTTAAGAAAAAGGAATTTCATGGAAATTTTTAAAAATTTTCACAGTTCAAATCATGAACACATCCTAACTAGAACATTACGACCCAGTTCAAACCTCAGATGTCCGATAATTAATGTGCTCGACTATTGCTACTAGTAATAATACTACTAAAAAGTACCATAATTGGATATCGAAGAAATTACAAGTTTCTAATGGCAATCTAGCTAAGATCAGTTAGTGATATCAGCGATGAAAATAATCTTCTCTTCACGTTAGGTATGATATTTGTATTATAAAACATCTTGAAAAAGAATGAATATGATTTTGCAAAACATTCCAATGTCAGTTTTAGTGAACCAATCGCATGAGGCTAAATGAGACCATTTTCTGATGATCATACAAAACGTTCGAGGGGATAAATAACTGTCACTGGTAAAAAAGGGGTTTCATTTTCTCAAGATTGTTGAACTTATACACGTAGCGAGAGAGGAAGATAGGATATTTACAGATAATTCTGTCGTCAAATATAACTTATTTTCTCTTTTCTTCGCACTCCAGTACCCGTTGATATTTTGGATTGGAAATTACTCATCATGGTCACATCTTGAACGCCGCACATCGAAAACACTTAACATTTACTTTTAGAAATAAGTTTTGTTTACTAATTTTTAAGGTGAAGCAATAATTGAAAGTTTCCTTTGCAGTACTCTACAATAACTAAATGGTCACTTTTTTTCAGTGAAGGCTGGAGTTCATCGTTTCCTTGATTTGACTTATAAATTTCAACTTATAAATATCTAACCTTGTTAAAAAAAAACTGTAACTTATTGACTTTAGATTCATTATAGAACGAATATTTACACAAGTCTATCTGTATTTCTAAACTGCATTAATTTTTGCTGCAACTGAAAGTCATCAACATCTTGTTCGGTTCCAATGAAACAATGAATGAGTTGTGTAATGTCGTGGATAGATTGATAATAGACAATTAACTCTGATGGATGCTGATCCAGTTGTCTTGAGGTTACGCATTCGCTCAGGATTCAATACTTCATCCGTTTTGTTTCAAATTTTGCAGGGATTGTGGATGCGCAGTAGCACAAACGAGACAAAACGACCATTGAGTATTTCTAGGTTTATTTATATTCAAGATATAACAGCGATCCATTCATCATTTCAACGAATAATTTCAAGTTACTTTCAAGACTTTAACTGAATGGAAGTGAACTGAAATATAGACGTTCATATGTTTCTACTTGAGCGTCTACACATACTTAAATAAACGAAATATTTTGAGGGGTCCATAAGCCAGTATCTGGTCAGAATTTAAACTGAGTTAGTTAGTACTAAACATCCAACTAGTCAAGTTGAAAAACTAGTTATATTGCAGTGGCGTATAACAGTTTCATAACTCTTGGAGAACAAATAATGTATGGATCTGTTATTCATCCAAGACTGCTATGGAGCTATATCTCCTAATGTTAGGTCACATTCTGGTAGATTATATCTGTAGGTAAAATTCTTCAAGAATAGCTTCCTAAGAAAAACACCTACTTTGGTTGGAGCATTCGGTTAGTTAAATCCAATCTCACCCATATTCTAATTAATTTGTTTTGTGAATAAACATTTAGATGCTTTATTTTTACCAAAGCGTTTGAATGAATGAATAAAACACACATTTTAAACTACTCAAATAAACCGTTCAGCAGAAAAGAAAAGTTTGATGACAAGAAGAAACAAAACCCTTTTTCGAAAAAAACACACTCACTTTCAAGTTCATTCAGTTGTATAGAAATAGAACTCCTTTTCCAGTAAGAGGCTTCAAGAAAAAACAAAACGAGTGAATTAAATCACAAAAATTCTACATAATGTTTAAAGAATTTAAAATTTCTTTATGTACGATGGAATAATACAAACAGTAGACTTCATTGGTCAGTAGATCGAATGTCACCCTAGGTTGAGCTGATATCAATACAAATACACGAATTTACTAAGCACACTACGGTGTGCCTCAGAAAATAGTCAACATCATACGGAATTCTTATGATGGATTCAACTGCGAAATCGTACACGAAGGACAGCTAACAGACTCTTTCGAGGTGAAGACCGGTGTCAGGCAAGGTTGCTTACTCTCACCCTTTCTCTTTCTCCTGGTCATCGACTGGATTATGAAAACGTCAACATCAAGAGGGAAGCACGGTATCAACTGGAGAGTTAGGACGAAGCTGGACGATCTGGACTTCGCAGATGACCTGGCTCATCTATCTCACACACAACAACAAATGCAAGAGAAGACGACCAGTGTAGCAGCAGCCTCTGCAGCATTAGGTCTCAACATACATAAAGGAAAAAGCGAAATTCTCCGATGCAATACAACATGCACCAACCAAATCACTCTTGATGGAGATGCCTTGGAGGACGTTAACACCTTTACATATCTTGGCAGCATAATCGACAACCGAGGTGGATCCGATGGAGTTGTAAGGGCACGGATTGGCAAAGCGAGGGTTGCATTTCTACAGTTGAAAAATATCTGGAACTGCAAACAACTTTCAACGAAACTCAAAATCAGGATTTTCAATACAAATGCCAAGACAGTTCTGCTGTATGGAGCGGAAACATGGAGAACCACCAAAGCCATCATTCAGAAGATACAAGTGTTTATTAACAGCTCTCTAAGCAAAATACTTCGGATTCGTTGGCCAGACACCATCAGCAACAATGAACTATGGGAAAGAACAAACCAGATTCCAGTGGAGGAGGAAATATTGAAGAAGTGGTGGAAATGGATAGGACACTCACTACGAAAAGCACCTAACTACGTCAAGAGACAGGCCCTCACATGGAACCCTCAAGGCAAAAGGAAAAGTGGAAGGCCAAAGAACACACTACGCCGAGAAATAGAGAAAGATATGAGAAGAATAAACAAACATTGGACAGAACTGAAGAGGGAAGCCCAGGACAGAGGTGACTGGAGAAAACTGTTGGGCGGCCTATGCTCCATCGGGGGTAACAGGCGTAAGTAAGTAAGTAAGTAAGCAAGTATATTATTTCCACAAATGAACAGCATCTCGGACTCTAAAAAACTATTCATCCTTATCAAAGTCACTATGTTCACTGTTTTTATTAACAGATTTCTACGCGAAACACTGAGGATGCGTTGACACGACGCTATCAAAAACAACCTACTGCAGGAGAAATAAAACACAATTCAAGCTAAGGAAAATCGCGGTAAGAAACATTGCAAGTCCATAGGTTACACAATCAGAAAAGCACCCGACTGCATCATAAGTCAAGCGCACATTGGTAAACATCAGAATCAAAGGAAAAGTTGAAGATCAATAAATACAATATCCCAAAAATGAAGGTAGAAAGAAAGAGAATTATCGACAATAAAACTCAACCAGAATGATGGTAGGTGGCCTATGCTCCATTAGAATAAGTAAGCCTATGTAAGTAAGACTTTCAATAAAACTATTATAAATTTTGTTTCAACATTGATCTTCACATTTCATAAAATATGTATGAATATGATACGAGTAATCATCTGAACAAATTAGTGTCGAATATTTATACTCGCAACTATAATTCAGACGATCAGTTCAATAATGAACTAGACATTGTTGTACGTTTACAAAATAATGAATATAGGTACAAAATTTAATTACTGAACAATGGACTACACAGTGTACTTTTCGGAACGTCAAGACAAAACGTCGCTGAATATTTTTTATACTTCTTGTTGTGAGCTATATTCACAATCATTGAACTATACAATATTTATTCAACCATTGAAAAATATCACAGACTTAATCAGTGTCTAGATGCAGTAAAACTCTTTACAAACCATATCGTCCTACTCAAATCACATTTGGAAAAAAATAATATATCAAACTTAAAAAAGTGTATAGTCATAGAATCAATCTCTCGGACTAAACAATTCGTCTAAGCATTCTAGTATTAGTACTTAAATCATAAAAATACACAGATCTATAAATGTATGTACCAAAGATCGAAAGAAGAATAATGCTTATGAGGGTGTATACGGACCTAATTTGAATTTAACACGTACCAGTGCTAACTGAGGTCAAACAATCTGTATAACCATATAATTTTGAATGAAGGGTTGTAAACACTGTTGAGTAACATTTAGAATAATAATCGATCAATCTTGAGCTACCATTAGTTACCTGTAAACACAGTTTACTGTCGTGTTTTTCCTGATATGTGACTCGTTAGCAGTGCTCATTTACGACCCCTCACTATTGTGAATCAAACCTCATGACCTTATGTCTCATAGGTATATGCAAAACTACTAAACAACTGAGTCGACATCTAACAGTTGCAATGCATAACTTTGAACAATCCATTAGTCATAACTTCGTCCACGTATGGAAATCATCAGCTTATCATTAGATCTCTAATAAAAGTCACAGATAAATCGATTCACAATTTCGTATAACATGGTTAATAAATACCACTTTCATAAAAAATTCGATCAACATATAAATATATATAACATAGATATTAAAGAACTTACAACTTTTTATGGATACAGGACAAAACAAGAGAAATATATTGACAAGCAACATAATTGAATGCCACATTTTTCATGAATAAAAATTTCTACATAATGCATACTTTTGGCTTTATATAGTTAAACGATGATTGATGATGATTGGTAAGTTCAAGGTAATCGGAAGTAGAATAAAACAAAACTAATAAACAAATTATTAAATTGTGAAATAAAATATTTGTAGCATATAAATGATCGATGTACTCACATACACCTTCCAAAACGTCTTTTATTTCATAAAAGTCTACATGCATAAATTAAACTCAACAGAAAAAATGTAACCGATTCAAACATATGAATAAAGTATGATATTTTCGGATTCAGTGGCCCTTTAAATGCCTTGCAACATATAAAGCTGAGAACAATACGCTGTCGCTGCCAAAATGATTTCATATATAACGTTTTGGAGGATCGTGCAAATGGGCTTCTCGTGAAGCATGCGTCGAACCTTAGCTGCAACCTTGACGTAGTGATCAGCTTACTTATTGTGATGACTAAACCGAGCCATATTGGCTGGAAAAGATGTTTCGGTAGGTTCTGCCATGACAAGGAGGTCGACTGAAGAAGCGTAGGACTTGAAGTAACAGCTCAAGGATTGACGGTGAACTCTCGCTCTTCGTAAAGGGGTGTGAAACATTTAACCATTCTCTGGACAAAGCGTCAACTGTAGCGCTGCTGCATGCCCACAGTAAAGGAGAAGGTTATAAATGGTCGACCTTAAGAATTCATGCCTCACCCTACGTCACTCATTTTCGGCTTCAGGGTTTGAACCATTTGAAGAGCAAAGCGAACATTTTGAAATTTTCCAGTAAATCGCTCTGTGTGACTTGTCAGAAAAAGATGGCCCTTGTACTCTCACACCACTCTTCTAGCTCTCAAAGACCAACACTAAGGACTGAAGGAAAATGCCTAATATGTCAACGCTAAAAGTATCACACTTAATCTTGTCTGACAGAATTCCATCTCCGGTGGTAGGATATTTTGAAGAGCAGAGCTAACACTTCGAAAGAAATTTCGTAGAATGACCGAACTTGGTCGGTCTCAAGCACATCATTTCTTGCTCATTTTTATTTCGCAGTCCCTTATGAAGCATTCTTTGATTGTGTACGCTGTTGGGAAGTGACATAAGCTCTCATACTTGTAAGAGCAAAGTAAAGCAAGACCATAAGCTTCATTTGCTTGAATTTTATAATCTCGCATCATCTATCAACAGAATCTGTGTATGTTTCACCTTAGCTAGATAAGGAACTAACACGTTTTACATTTTGAATATCTTAGAGCCCCGCCAATGCTTACCGTTGACAAGGTGATTTGTGTATGGTATTGACTCCTGAGGCACATTCCAGCTTTCTTAGACCGGATTCCAGTAAGTAGTCGTTTATGCGTCGTCCCACAAAATAGGGCAGTAATGACTAACAGAGATTACGACACCTCCCGTTGAGTCGTCGTTGTATCTGCCTACACTACCCATGACTGCAGGTAAGACAAGGTAAAGGATCGGTTTTTGCGGAATGCTTCCAAACTAAATCAAAATATTTAGGCTCTCTGATGTAATAATACTGACTTGTAGATGGATTAAATGATGAGAAATAATAACTGGATAGATCTGATGGTGTTACTACTCAAATAACAAGGAACAGTCAACGTCTGTTGCAACTTTGCTCAGGTGACTACCTATTTATAACAAGTGCTTACTTAAAGCGCGAGAAAAACATCCTTTGTTAGGGTAATCACAAAATTCGTCACAGCGCCGGACCTTACTCACATTGCGATAAGCCAATGATGGAGAAGCTATCATGAAGACTGTCGCTAATGCTGGTGAATATAGTTTGAATCGGTTCAAGCTCAAGTACGAGAGAGTATTTGCTGACGCCCTACTGCACGGAAAACGTTTGATGTTATACTGAAAATAAATTTCTGGAAAACCCAGAGAAGCAGTCACGCAACGATGTAAGTGATGCTCAGCTTGATGCAGGCTGTAATGATATCCAAGAAGCTGTACAAACAGCAGTGATATCTGCTTTCAGTAGCATCTACTTAACTGGAGTATGTTAAAAAACTCACTTTAAATGGCTCTTGACAAATCAAAGAGCTTTAGCTCGGACTCATGAAAAGACTACACAGCCATTGTGAACGGTGATTTGGAAGCGAAAAAAAAGGTAGAAAAACCAGCGGCAGCAACGGTGGATAGCTGTTCCAACCCATCAAGAAAACTAGTACTCGGAATACGACTGTTGGAGAATCTGTCTCGGCAAAAGATGAAACTATTATTTGTTGATAATCCAGGAGATTGGGTCGATCGCCTGAGCAGTTTGACGATCGATTCGACTGAATTTCAGCCACACCTTGGTTAACCACGATCTTTAGTCAACTTGGTTGGTAAGTTGATGCAAGTTTTCTGAATCTTAAAGTTGATTAAAAGACTTTAGGTTATCCAAACTAAGTGAGAGCAGCAAGCCTTAAGAGCCATAAGTACCTCCTACAATGACCCCGAATGCAAGATCATGCTTGAATAATAGCTCACGGAGTCATTCTAAGTGGAAACCATTATCAGGTAAATCTGCTTACTCATATACTAAATCTTTTTCCTAGTTAGCAAATGTGGATAGTGGTAAGCAGTGGAATCCAGTATGCACGTTTCCTCTTTTTTTGAAGTGGTCAGCTGGGAATACTTTAATCTCATAGTTGAAATTCACTTTGCCTCTTAAAACTGGTACCTTTTGCTTCACATACAATCATGTTATCATCAACTTAGACATTGAGTTTATTAAGTCACTGGCACATTGAATAGGTCAGGCTATTGGTGATTTGTTTTGGTTATTTGAATTTTTGATTGTTGTTTAAGATCTCAATTGATCAACAAAGGCGCTTGGCTATCTGAGCTTTTTGGTTTAATAGTTACTAAGGCAGCGTTTGAAGTGGACGTTAGTGAGTATGATTTCCAAAATAAACATCATATCTGATATGCAACTGCTTCTGGTTGCAAATGAATCCCAGATAGGATGAAATAAGCCTGCTTTGTTTCAATTTTGACCACAACCTACTTCTATTATGAACAATTATAACGTTTTTAAAAGCAATATCAGAGTAATACATGCAATTGTGGCGTTAAAAAAATTGATAGAAACGTTCGGAAAACGAGTAATAGTGAATTTCATGTTTGATATAACCTGAAAACAAGACATCAATACTACATTACCTTAGAAGGAGTTAGATATTACAGTGAACATAAATTCTTTTCAGTGGTATCATATACTGGCATTGAACCTCTTTGATTCTTACAAACTATGAGTAGCTTTTTATTAGCATCACCTTCTCCTTTTTGCTTATATATAGGTTTGTACCTCTGATTACTTTTTAAACGATTATATGATGCAATCTGTTGAAGATTTTTAATTACTTTGCTAAAACTCAAGATCTAATATATTTTTTAATAGCTCGTTTAAACCAACCGACTTCTTTACGTTCGATTCTTGTCTTTTCGGTATGGTTCAAGGTATCTGATAGTGTACAATGGATGGTAGTGTAGCTGATTCACTGCATTGCCTATGTGTTTGTAGGTTCCGTGACCTGAATTGTTACGTATGTTTCAGGAAAGTAGTTTTCGGAATAACAATAGCTCTTACGTTAACAGGCAGAACATCATTTTGTGGCATTTTGAGGAGAAAAGTTAAGGGCTGAAAAGAAGATTACAGAAGCAAGTAGGTAAACAAATGTACTAATTGACTGATAGTGACGGTTGTGCAGGAGGAAGAACAAACAGAATTAATAAGTGTTACGCTCGTCACTTGAGACGCCTGAAGCTATTACGAACTCACCATAGTCGGCAAACGCAAACGAGACAATTACCAGGGTCCAGATAGGCTACCTTGAATCCGAAACTGCAAAACAGAAGTTTCGATAAACGTAGAAATTGTATTATACAACAACAGTCAGTACACAGTGTAATATATATACATATATATGATAATCGATACTGTAATCGGATTATTCAGATACAAAATTATGCTTAATACAGTTATCGAATAATACAAACGGAAGTACAATAAATGAATCCAAATAAATCCAACATAAAGATATTTATCGAGCGAGTTCTGGGGATCAGACATCCCCAACACTCCTCCCCTTTTTAATAGCGCACGCTCATGGGGTCGACTTGCATCTTTACTGTTGTTCGCCGCTGTCTGTGAGGATACCTTCTGGGACGGGGATCAGCTTGTTACTGAGTTATTTCTCGTGAGGGAGCTGCTGGTAGGTTGAAGGTATCAAGCAGGATTTCAACGGGGAGATTTTTCGCTCTTGATTGACGATCTGGAGTTAGCCGTTTGCCTGTCTGATTTCGATGACGTGACCATTTATCACCTCCTACCTCTACTTAGTACATAATTTGCCCGACTCTTCTGATCACTCGCGCTTCTACCTAGGGACCATAATTCTCTCTGTAGTCAAGGGCGAACACAGCATCCCAATTCGTAATAGGATTGCCTTTGCTGCCTTGTCTTTGCTGATGTTGGTGCATTAGTCCGATGCATCAGGCTGTGGATCATTTTTAGTCTTCCGCTGGGACTTTCGATCCGGTAACAACTCATTTGATGTTGTTCCATAGATGAACAAGAAATTTTGTAACGCAAATCGCGTTTATTTATACTCTATAGAGACGCCCTTGGGACAGTCACAAAATACCACACTAAAATTACACAGTAACCAATCACAACCAAGGATTTTCCTGGTGGGAAATGAAATTTCCATGTCAACTGATCGGTCAATTAAATAAATCCAAGATAAAGATATTTATCAAGCGAGTTCTGGGGATCTAATATCTCCAAAAGAAAAAGTGTTCATTAACCCGAGTGTTTTATTATTTATCCCTATCACCCATTTCTTTGCTTGTCTCTGCGCTCGGTCACAGAAATTTCAGTAAATTTCAGGGAGACGATGGTGCAGCGTTGATTTGCACCTCCAGCTGTAGGAACTCACATGTCCTTAACAACGTTTCGAATAATTCAGGTGTGACAGAACCAAGTTTCCTCC